CCCCCTCACCCCACCCCCCGGCACCACACTCGCTTCGGCTCGGCTCGGCTCTAACCAGCCAGTGCCAGTAGAAGGAGATAGGCATCTGCCTGGAGCGGTCGCGTCGTGTACGACGGTGTATTTCGCTTCGGCTCCGCTCGCCGCCCTCTCGCGTCTCGTTCCGAAGGCCCCGGCGGCCAGCGCGGAGGACATTCCACGGCACTGCAGCGGCGATCTGCAGTGTTGCCATTCGGATTGTGCGATTGTTGTTAGTGCCGGTGCCTCGTCGGGATCCCATCCTGTGCAGTGTTGTTGTTGTTGCCGCTGCCGTGTCTGCGCTGCTGCTGCTGCTACAAGTGTGAGGTGTGTGTGTGTTTGTTGCGTTGTTTTGACACAACGCGGTTTAGCTTCCGTGATTGAGTGTTGAGTGCCGGGAGTGCTTGTCGTCGCCGGCCCGATTGTCCTGTCGTTTGTCGTGCTTGACACTTGACCGGGACCGGACGTGTGCCCGCCCGACCCGCTCGGGACATTTGGATTTTTTTGCCACCGCCTGGAGTACCTCTCCACCGCCGTTGCGGTCCTCTGCAGCCATCGCCGCTGCCGGTGACCGAGTCCGTCACCATCTATACAGGTGAGTCGGACGTGCGTGTCCGTGGCCGACGTGACAGTCGCGTCCAACGGTCCCGCCCGACGTGTCCAGCCGGGGCACTGAGGTTAGGAGGAGGAGGAGCGGGAGGAGGAGGCTGGTGGGTCCTTGATTGGAAAGGGGAGCCCTCCCGGGCCGGGCCGGACCCACCCGGCGGCAGGTAGGCCCGCCAGGCCCGCCCGACCGCGGCGAGGAGGCTGCTTTTGTTGGGCCGGCCACGCCGTCGAGAGAGCCGGCTGCTTGGGAAGCAATTTCTTATCCCTTTTTTTGTGGGCGCATGTGCTCGAGGCGCGTGAGTAAAGTTTGTCCATTCAACCCGATGAGGCGGGGCGTGTGGAGCGACGTAAAACCAACACCGGCTCTGGTCATGGTCATATAACCCAGGCCTCCGAAAGACCTTCCGGGAGACCCTCGAATGTGACTGTCGTGGAGGCGGCCCGGGCCCGGGGCGCCCGGGGTGGGCTGGGCTGGCACTCGAGGTGGCTGATGACAATGCCGCCCGATGGGGTGGCGGGGCGGGGCGCCGGCCAGCTGAGTGACTCGACGACAAGCTCCGCGGCCGACCTGACAGGTGTTGGCGCCGCCGGCCGCTGCCGGGCCGGCCGGCGCGTTCCAGTTGTCACGTGACCGTATCGAACTGACCGCACCGTGTCCGAGACTGCTGGTGGCGGCTGGGCGGGAGGGACTTCCCTTGTCGAGCAGGGTCGCCGTGGGCGGGCAGCTGCTGGGTGAAGGAACTCGGCGCGTCGCCACGCTCTTCGTCGCCGGTGGTCGGCGCGGCGGCCGCGCGGCAGTCGGTCTGCCGGCTCCGACTGGCTTATCGGCGGGTGTCACATCACAACCATATGTACCCACTCGCTCCACCAACATCCGCACCACACTCGCTCGCGCCCCGCCGAGCCATGCGAGGAGGCGGACGAATACGCCACCTCATGAACTCTCGTGTGCGTATGGCGGCAGCTGGTGCGCTGGATCCGCCCCGCCCCGCCAGCGCCGGGGTCCGGGTCCGAACGCCCCCGTCCCACCCGGAGCCCCACCCAGGGTTGCCACGTTGAGTTGTGGGCGTGGGCGGGTCCGGTGGGCCTTCCCTTTAAGAATCCCATTATAAAGGAGAGAGAGAGAGAGGGACGCGAAGACAGCGGGTCCGGCGGGTTCCCGCCGCTGGGGCGCGCGCCCCCTCCGAGCCCAGCCCCGCCGGGACCCACCTGGTCCGCATCGGTAATGCACTGCTTATCGTACAGAAGAAAGTAATTCAGCGGAAGGCCCCCCGTGCGTTGGGGCGGCGGCGGGTCGACAGCGGACTGGTCCCGCGGGGTTCCTGGCCCTGGCTGCGCTCCCCGCCGCCCGCCCGCCCCGGACCGGAACGTGCTTCCAATACCACCGCCGGCTCGGAGTTACTTCTTTGCCTGCTCCCCCCAGCTGGCCCTGGTGGTTGGTTAGACCAGACCGTCGTCGCCCCACAGCCCGGCTGCCCCCGCGAGGGCACCCCTTGTCAGCGTGATGCAGCCGTGCTACTCTCGCGGTCCGCGCGCCCGCCATTTCCACCACGGCGCCGTGCCTTCGCACCGGAAGTGCAAGCGTGGCGGAATGCAGACGCGCGCGGCTGGACGCTGCTATGGGCATGGGCTCGGACCGAGCGAGGAGCGAGGACAGTCGTGGCGACGCCTCGAGCCAGCGCGGTTAGCACGCGGTCACGCATCACGGGGTCCGGGGTCTCAACTCAACCTCCTCGGCCACCTGCATAAGAACAAGTGTCCCCACCCCAAGGTAGGAAGTCACTGGGGTTGTGCTACGGGGTGAAACAGACGATGAGTGTTTTTCTGCAGATATCAATTGCGAGTGATAAGTACATTGAACTGTTTACGCGTTTTCACCCACCTCCCCGCAAACATCTACCGTTCTTCAGGTGACCCCTCACCCCCCCCCCCTGCAGTCGATGCTTGTTTCACCGCAGGCAGTTGACCCTTTTTTTTCTGTACCCCTTGCCGTGCCATGCCCCCCGGAGGTATCGCAATGAGCGCGTGGCCACAGCGGGGAGGGCCTCGGGGCTTATCGTGCGGAAGGGAAGGGTCGTCGTAGGGATTGCCGGATTGCCCCGCCGCCGCCGCGCCGAGGTTATCTGCGGGCGGGGCGGGGCGGGGCGAGGTGCGGCGACTTTACTATCTCCACGGCCGGCGACGGCGGAGGCGCGCGGCGGCGGCCTGTTGGTTAGCGACGTTTCTTTTTGTGTGTTATTTCATTTCAATCGGTTTGGAAAATCTGGGCCGCTTCTTCCTACTTGCGGGCTGTGGGCGCCTAGCCTCCCCCTCCCTCGGGTGGTGGGTTGACGTTTCTTGAAGATGTAATTTTATTTTATTTTTTATTTTTTTCGCGTTGACCACAGCTTTATTGCTGTTGCGGTGGCAGCTCTGGGAGCGACCGACTCGCGTGTTTGGGCCGGCTGGCCAGCTTGGAGGCGGTGGTGGCGGCGGCCGGCCGGGGCGGCTCGCGCCCTCCGCACGCAACGCCGCCCGGCGCCCTCCTCGGAGGGCAGTTAGTGCTGCGGCAGTAGGGTATGCCCAGCTGCTGCTGCCGCTGCCGCCGCCGCTGCTAGGGCTGGGGGTGGCGCGGCGGCCGCCGCCCCTGTTGTGGCGCACAGCCATTTTTCACCGTGTGTCATCTCGTGGAGCGGGACCTTAGGGGTGGTTGGGTTTACAAGGAGGCGCGCGGGGCGGTGGCGGTGGAGGGGCGCCGGGCGCCTCTGGTATCTCTCGTCGAGGGCGTGCGCGCGCACACTGCCATGGGCCTCGTCGTGAGATTAGCGCCCCCCCCCCCATTGTGCGAGTGTCGCACACTTGTAGGCGTGTGAATTCTAATTTGTACACTTGTAGGTGTACATGTGTAGGTGTTCGTCAAAGGAGCATTCACACCTTTGTTGGTACAAGTGTGTGACATTCACACCCTTGTAAGGCGTGTGGGGATTTTTATTTGAACACCTAGGTACAGGGTACATGTGTGCGTACAGTTCGGAAAGGAGCATTGTCACCTTTGCAACCGTGCGGCCGTCGAGAGAGCCGGCTGCTTGGGAAGCAATTTCTTATCCCTTTTTTGTGGGCGCATGTGCTCGAGGCGCGTGAGTAAAGTTTGTCCATTCAACCCGATGAGGCGGGGCGTGTGGAGCGACGTAAAACCAACACCG